CATTCTATGATTCTATGATACAGAACATATCCACCCCAGATACTATTGTAGTTCAGTGTTGCAAGTGTCCTGTAAAAGTGCTTTCTTTCTTTACAATGCTCAATCTCATCATAGGAATGTAAAAAACAATAGTTTGCATTCTGCCCCTGTACTCTGCTCTTGTGAGACCCTACCTGCAGTTCTGCGTCCAGCTGTGGAACCCTCAACGTCAGAAGGATATTGACTGGTTGGAGCGAGTCCAGAGGAGGCCACGAAGATGCTCCGAGGGCTGGAGCCCCTCTGCTATGGGGACAGGCTGAGAGAGTTGGGCTTGTTCAGCCTGGAGAAGAGGAGGCTCCGGGGAGACCTCATTGCAGCCTTCCAGTGCCTGAAGGGGCTACAAGGAAGCTGGGGGGGACTTTTTACAAGGGCCTGTAGTGACAGGACAAGGGGTTAAGGGTTTAAATTGAAAGTGGGGAGGTTTAGATTGGATATCAGGAAGAAATTCTTCATGAAGAAGGTGGGGAAGCACTGGGACAGGTTGCCCAGAGAAGCTGTGGATGCCCCATCCCTGGGAGTGTTCAAGGCCAGGCTGGATGAGGCTTGGAGCAACCTGGTCTAGTGGAAGGTGTCCCTGCCCATAGCAGGGGGGTTGGAACTAGATGATCTTTAAGGGCCCTTCCAACCCAAAACATTCTATGATTCTATGATTCACAAGTAAATACATTCATAACCCCCCCCACAAATAAAACCAAAACAAACAAAACAAACAAAACCCACACACAGTAGTGCATTTTATATGACAAATTTTGAGAAAGAATATTTTGGGAAACATTCTTTAAAACAGCTGCTCCAGATAGCAGCTGAAGTACCGGAGTCAGATGGTATCCATAGAGAGAAAGAAGTACCACTTCACATCTTGTAATAAACCCGAAGGCTGCAACCTAACGAACATTTGCTGCATCATTGTCAGGCCTTGCTTATTTACATTTTGCAGCACCCAAGCTCTCTGTCAGCAAGTGCAAACCTACTTGACAAAATGCAACATAGAAAGATGTTCAACTTCCCCTTGGATTTTAAATGGAGAAGTGATTGCATTCCTTTTTCTTGTGGAGAGTTTACTAATGAAACACCAAAATATTTGGTTTTAATACAGTGATACATAAATACATAAAAGTCTATTATGGTCTAATTAAGCAGATAAACTCCATTTTCAGATCTACAGGGCAGATTTTAATGTCTTCCAGTGCTTTCAGTCTGTATATACAACAGGGAAATGTATGTTGATTACGAACATCTGGACTTTAACAGGGCAGCTATTGCATGTACATCTACAGTACATTATGCATATCTTTATTTACTTCTTTGTGCAACAGCCTAATTTTATGTGCTCAGTGCTGTCTAGAGTGCTGCAGCAGCATCGCAGTGCCACAAGTTGTTAATCTGTAATTTTCAAGCCCTCCTTTATTTCCAGGCTGAGGTTTTATTGTATTTTCATTAAAAATAGCTGGCAGTATTGTCAAATTAGTGGGATTAACCTACTTTAAAAAGGAAAATAGGTCAGTTACTATATTCATGTCTGGCCTTCAACTCTCATGTATTGTTACAGCTTTCTTGCATCCTAAAAAATGAGCAGTTTCCTGTGGAAAATACAGATCTGTGTGTAGCAGTCTGAGTTTATCCCACACTCAAACCCACACTGAAATAAGACATACTGGGGTAAAGGCCTCATCAGTTGTTGTCAGTCTCTGCTGATACAAACCTCCTGGCCAGAAAAGATGCACAACTTACTGTAGACTGTTAAGAGATGCTCCATTAGCAAGTTGCTTTCGACAGTGAAGACAAATTGGGCTGTTACATACTTTTGATCTTTGAAACACACATAAAAAAAAAATCAGAAGCACCTAGGAACACCCCTTCCAAACCTACCTTACCTTAAACGGAGACTTAGACGAAACATCCACTGACAGAGGAATACCAACTGGCCACCCACCAAGCTAATCCTCTCTGACCAGAGATCAGGGAGAGAAGGGGTGACAGTACCTTACCTGCAGTAATAGGTCTTGATAGCTATTGTGGCATCTGAAACATTGGGCACACTGAGAGAAAAAAGCAATTCTTCATGCTCTGCACAACTGCCACTGTGTCAGGCTAGATACAAAATACAAGGCTCAGATGCTTGTCTGCCATGCAACAGTCAGAAATGCAAGTGCTAGCAGGACAACAGACTCAGTGGGCTACACCTCCACTCCATCCTCAGCTTTTTCAATACTCCTTTGCTCTTGGCCCCTTATTCTTTTCACTAGAGTTACTAAATAAAACAGAAGTTCAGAAATTGCCAAGGAATCCTCATTATCGTCTTCCCAGTAAAAGGACAGGACTGACCTCTAGATAATACACCAAGAAAAAGGCAGAGAGAGAATTACCCCTTTGGCATTTCTCTGACAATTACTACTCTCCAAACCAGTTCATAGTCACTCTCTCACACTTTAGGGAAAATACACTGCAGGTACGTGTCATTTAGACAGCTAGCTATCTGCATCTAGGAAAAATAACTGAAAGTTAACAGTGCGCTTTCCCCCTTTCCCCTCACTTTCCAGCTGATCTACAACTAACAAAGATTGCAATTTCTGCATATTAATTACACTCCTGAAAAGGAGAGAGAGGGAGGAAAGAAAGTAGGACAAATCCACACTGTACAGAGCATTCTTTTTTCTAGCATAGTGAGCTGCCACAATTCAACCTTTAGCATTCCTTGGTATCCATTTGTCCTTTCCATGCTTACCCACATGCATAGATACTGCTGAGAAAGGCCGAATCACCAGCAACACTAAGATTACTCAAGGAACATGAGAGCTGCTGCAGAACCAAGACCATACAGAAAAGCCTCAGGAATCCTCATAAACTCCCTCATGATTCCTTACTATGGTATTTTTTAGCAGATGATAGAAAGAAGACTTTTTCTTTTTTAAAGTGTTCATAGAAGACAGAGAAGGAAGAGTTTATAGCACATCCCCTTGGGTTAGCTTAAAAGCAACTGTCTAGATTACATTCTTTACAGTCTCTCTTTCCATCATCTTTAAGCAATGCATGGAATACAAATGAACATTGCATGGGGTGTCCCTGGGAATCCCACTAACCGGGACTGACAACTTTTATCTAAAGCTTTTTCTTTCCCCATTTTCCAGGATCCAAGAGGAGCCAACTAAACCCTCCTTAGCGGCGAGGCAGATTTGGATTTTGTAACATGATGTTGTTGCCTCAACATTTCCCCCGAAGAAACACATAGACTCAAAAAAGAAATCAGTGACAGTAGCAGTAAGCAACATGCAGATCAAAATAGCATTTGTCACTTCTACAGCACGTGACGTGTCACCAAGTATCTCTTCTTTGTTAACAACACAAAGCACAGCTAAGAAGCGGAAGCAAGTTCCAAAACCACAGGCAACCCAAATCAGCTAACACAGGTAAATGAAATGACAGAAATGCCAACTGCAGGATGGACAACCCAAGAATAACAAATTTGCATTGTTAAATGTCATTCCTTAGAGTTAATGGCTTCAAGACCCAGGCATAATCTCGCCCCTGAATTAAATAAACATAACAATTTCTTGGTTTGTATCAACATACTGTATCCCTAGCATTATCCTCATCAATCAAAACATATCGCAGACAAACACTGTAAGCACTGAACTTGGAAAAAGGCACCTGCTCCACCACTCTCCCCACAGGTAGGCAGGCAGAACGTTCAGCTCTTCACCCGCCCAAGCAAAGAATGACATTTTGCAGAGTTCATATGTTCTTTACCTTGTAGCAAACATTGCCCTCAGGGAAGAGAAGGTAGCAGCATCTTCCTTCAAAGCCTTCAGCTCATTTCGCAGTTTCATCATTGTCTCTGTAACCATAGCTTTCTCATTTTCATACTTGCTTTTTAAGTTGGCAAGGGCTACCTCTGCAGTCTGTTGGTTACCAAGAAGAACAAACATACCAGTTAATGAAACTCTTTACAAGGTGACTGGCTAAGAGATTCCTAATCACTGTTCACATAATGAAACATTTACTCTGTAACTGGAATGTTAAACTCCTGGTCAACTTCTCTTGTATGAATTTAAAAATAATTACTTTTTGAACACTGGGAACAGAACAGACATATGAATTTCCTACTCCCATTATCCACGCAGCAGCATCTAAGAAGTTACAGCACGTACATTTAATGACACCTAACTCCAACAACTTAAAAAAAAAAAAAAACCAAAATCAAACTTTACATGCTTTGACACAAAGAGAAGAAAGTCTAATCTACCTATATTTAAACACATTCATCAATCACACAGATCCTCTAACCCTTACAGCATTTTGCCTATCTTACATTTTGGGATAAAATGTGCAAAAGTATGTGTATATTTCTTAAACAACACTATACTTTTTTTTTTTCCCCTTGAAGACAACCTTGATTTGCATTACTTTAACTTTAGAGGAGACAAGTAAGCATGTCACATGGTGTCTTGATGGCAGTTATTTATATCTACTGCATTGCTAATGCGTATGGAATGGCACAGCCCAGTCCCCAAAGACCTTTCACTCTTGTTATTTTGACCATGTTCTTATATCACATCCTCATCTTGGAAGACTTTCTTTTATTCTGCAATTTGAGAGAAGCGTACATAAATTTAAGACACCTTTTAAGGGTAACTACTAGAATTCTTTCAAGTAGAAAATAAGATTTACCTCTTCATTTTAGGTGTTTTACATTAAATGTAATCTGATATAATTAGGCAGTAGATTGAAGCTACTTTCAGCTTAATAAAGAGTCTCATGAGTATGGGACAAGTCAAAGTCAGTTCAAGTGTCAGCACTTCGCTTTACAGTAGGACACCTGTGTGCCTCTAAGGAAACCATAAAAAGTATCAGCAACAAATGCCCTACGGAGTTGAGGGTATGGCAGTATGACCTCAAAGATAAATTCTCCTGTATTTATGACCTAATTCCCTGACACTATAACCTTCACATCCGTAAGACCTGGTTACCTGTTTGTTGGCCTTCAGCACAGTTCTCAGAGTCGCTATCTGTTCTCTCTTGGTGCTCAGCAGGGACTTCAGCTTGAGGATTTCTTCCATGAGAGCTTCCTTGTCTTTGTCCACCACTGGCCCAAGCTCTTGAGTGGCAACACGCTGCCTGGACAACTCAGTTGTTCTGTCCACAGCAGCCTGCAGGTGCTTGATCTGATCCCGGATTATAGCGATCAGGTTATAAATGTTCATTGGTTCCTTACGAGGATCTGATACAGGAGATGGCAGAGATGACACTGGAGATGGGCTGCTGTCACCACTTGCGTTCTCTGCCTTTCCCAGCTCTATAGTTAACAGCCCTTTCGAAAGAAGAATGGGAGACCTTCTTCCCTTGGTCTCTGGACTATTGCGTCCGCCTTTACCTTCCTTGTAGTAATCCAGCATCACTCTGTTTGGAGTTTCATTGTTGCACATGCAGACATGGTGGTATAAATTGGCCAGTTCTTCACTGAAGGTGACTAGTTCATCTTGGGCCACACTGAGGCTGCCCTGTGTTTCTCCAGCAACATCACTGACTTTCTTCAGCTCCTTCTCCAGCCTGGCCACCTGTTCTCTATCATGCCTACTGGATTTTTCTAGCGAAGTGATCTTTTCAGTGACAGCTTGGCTCTCAGTCTCATATCTGCTCTTCTCTTCCTCATACTTTGACTCACATTCTTTGTATTTGGCCTTCAGATTCTTCAGCTCTTCTTTTAGGTCAGTAATCTCTGCCACAGCCACTTTGTACTTGCACTCCAGGATCTCTGGCCCATTGATGTCAACTTCGTAATAGTCTCCATCTTCATGGCTGTCTCGGTCCTTCTCATTGTCAAGGGCAGACTGACGTTCCTTGCTGACCTGGAGCTTCCTCATGGCGTTCAGGTTTTCTGTAAGTCTGCCCACTTTCTCATGTTGCTCTGAGAGGGCCCCTCGTGTATTTTCCAGCTGCTTCTGAGATTCCTGCAACGTTGTTAACAAATTCACCTTTTCTCTTTCCATCTGAAATGCACGAACACAGACATCTATGTAAAGGACGTTGTATCACTTAAATGGCTTTATTACAAGAGACAGCAACTTAGCCAAGGTCCATGTGGTTACAGAAATCTGATCACTTGCACAGTATGGAAAAGGTTATGTAGTTCATTCTAAAACCGATCTCAAGCACAGTGTTCCTTGCCGATTTTTTCCCATTTCTACTCCAAAATGCCCACTTTTTTTTTTTTTTAAACACTTCTTACATAGTGGATGGTCTCATTGTAAAAACATCCTTCCAGCTGAAGATAAGCTAAAGTTTACAGTAATCTTGCAAACTGTCAGGTAAATATTAAAACCCACACAGCTAGTCTATGGTAGAAGCTTAGAGCTTCATGGAAGACTCATACAATGAAACTTTTAAAGTTTCTCTTTGGAAAGTTCTTATTTTGTGGGCGGGGGAATCAAACAAGTTTTTTCACAAAGGCTTTTTCTTATAGAACACTTTAAAAAATACTTGACAAAATAACTTTAAAACATTTCTAGTCATCACGAACATGTACCCTGTTTCAAACTCTCCAACTATAGCACAAATATAACACAAGTGCTTGGTATTGATTAAAACTTCATGTTCTTCAAACTAATTACAGAAAATAGTTTCGGTGTACAGAACTCCTTTTCATTAAGATGACTGGAGTATCTATCAATTTTTGAACAAAAAAAAAATTACTAAAAAATTACTAGTGACATAATGAAGTGGACACAGCATGTATTGCACTTTCCTCCAGACGTAGCTTCTTTGCATCAAAAACACCCCCCAAGCTACTGTTTTCCACTGACAAACATTTAACATCCTTGTATTCTAAATCAATCAGAGCCTTTACAAACACAGTGCGTACTACATGGTGGCCATGTGAGATATTGAAAAGACTGAACTTACAATCCAAATAAACTCTAGCAACTGTTTAAAAGTACACAGTTGTTCAGGAAACCCATTTACCTGTACCAGCTGTTGTTTCAGCTTCTGGATTTCAGAAATGTTTAATTCACTCAGAAGATCGGAAACCAGACTTGGGGCTGGTGGGAAACTTTCATTTTTCTTGGGTGTTGATGTACTATTCTTGCCACTGCCGAGTTTGCTGAGGCAGTTTTGTTCAAATCCATTCATGATTTCATCATTATTGGGCTCCGTGGCTTCATCGCTGAACTTGAGTCCATCCAAAGAGATGTTCAGGTGGCTGTTGTACATGGAGTCATTGATGTTCATGTAGTGAGACAGCTCCTTACGAAGGTTGTTCTTCTGCTCCCTCTCTGTCTTCAGTGTCTCTAAGGCCTCCTCAAGCTGGCGTTCGGAGATCTCCTTCAGCCGTATGGCATCTTCTAGCTGGCTGTTGAGAAATTCTGTTTCCTCTTCGAGCCTTTTGATTTCATGTTTTAGGCCTTCAAACTCCACCTGAAGATATACAAATGGAGGGGAAAAAAGCCTGTAATGAAAATGCCTGCACGCACAAGCCACGGAGTAATTTTACTCTGGAGTACTTGATTTCACTAAATATGGTGAGAACAGTATAAGTTTTTCCTGTTCTAGAGTCTAGTTTTGGCACTATGGCTGTAAACACTGCTTACATCATTTACCTTCACAGAGACCATGGAATAAAATTTCTAAGCAAACCATGGAATGAGCTGATCAGTTCCATCTTAATTAAGACAGGCGGGAGATACAGTGGGTGATACAGAGGCACCACAAAACAGGTTTTCCTAGCACATTATTCAAACTCTTTCTGTTTGATTAACAAATTCCCTGGACAACCTTCCCACATATTCAAGCTCAACATTTCCAAAACCCAGCATCGCAAAGCTGTGCTTCTGACACTCTGCTGCACTGCTCTTAGAATATGCCACTGGGCCTAAAACTGTTGGGATACACCTACCAATCAAACTCTGTTTTTACATATTCAAAATAAAATGTTCTATTATTTGTCATCATAATTTCAGCACATCTTTACAGAGCTACGATTCAGAATCTACATTTTAGACTCATAGTGCTGCCACATGAAATTTGATGGCATGATACACATTTTTACCTCTAAAATTGCAATTTTTTTAAACCTCCCTTGCACTGAAATTATGAACACCAACCATGTAAAATTTTGAATCCCTTGGGAAAGAAAAAAGCCTAAGGAATAGCTTTTTCTTTACTTGAAAGAAAGGAAAACATACTACATGATATATGACCCTATTTATTTTTGCCATCTGTTAAAGGAATTTTAGATCCCAACATATACCAATCTGGTAGTGCTGAACCACACCCAATGTAAAAACCAAGAACCAATCATGTTAATTCAGTTTTTCAAGTTAAGCCTGGGAAAACTTGATGGCTTCTTCTAGTTACATCAGTGGAATAATTAAAGCTTCATGCAATTCAAATAGGACTAGGCCAAGGTAAAAAATTAAATAATCCATTGCCATTAAAAGAATTAGCTCTTGGTTCTATGCATGTCCACTGAGCTCAAATATTTAGGATTGCAGTCTATTTTCAAAGGTTCCAGAATACAAACACAGTAGTCAATAATTGCTAGCAACTGACATGATAGCATCTGAGGTTAATCTTGGCTCAGCCCAGAATAACAGCATTCTTGAATATCATTATTTTTGAATGTGAACACAATGCTGGGAACATTCACTTGCTCCTCTGAATACAATGAATGATACAAAAAAGGTACACAAAAGGTAAACAGCTACATAGGCAGGATTTTACCAGATCACTATCTCTTCCAGTCTGCATCTAGAGTGTAATAGCCTCCCTCATCCCTACCGCATGATGTCAGCTCACCCAAACCAGTGTAATTAGACCAAATATATTCAGGTGAGAACAGATCCAACCTGAAACCCCCTTTTGAGCACATCAAGTGAGGCCAAAGGCATAAACACTGACAGAGAGTTTCCCCCAGAGACAGATGAAATACATTCAATATCTCATATACCTCGCTTGGTAGGGCTGCTTTCATTCATAGAATCACAGAATGGTTTGGGTTGGAAGGGGCCTTAAAGATCATCCAGTTCCAACCCCCCTGCCATGGGCAGGGACACCTTCCACTAGACCAGGTTGCTCCAAGCCTCATCCAGCCTGGCCTTGGACACTTCCAGGGATGGGGCATCCACAGCTTCTCTGGGCAACCTGTCCCAGTGCTCCCCCCCCTCTCTGGGAAGAATTTCTTCCTGATATCCAATCTAAACCTCCCCACTTTCAATTTAACCCCGTTACCCCTTGTCCTGTCACTACAGGCCCTTGTAAAAAGTCCCCCCCAGCTTCCTTGTAGCCCCTTCAGGCACTGGAAGGTGCTATAAGGTCTCCCCAGAGCCTTCTCTTCCCCAGGCTGAACAAGCCCAACTCTCTCAGCCCGTCCCCATAGCAGAGGTGCTCCAGCCCGCGGAGCATCTTCGTGGCCTCCTCTGGACTCGCTCCAACTGGTCTCTATCCTTCTGATGTTGAGGGCTCCACAGCCGGACAGAACACTAAAGGAGATCTGAAGCAAATCCTAATAGGCTTTTGCTATGTGCTCATGACAACAAATGGTATTAACATTATTGTTCTCTTCAAGGGCTTTCATTTCAGGAATATTATACCATTTCCTCAATTGAACCGTAAGTTTTATTTATGAAGTGAGACTGACAGCTAACTGAAAAGTAAAAATAACAAGTCCACTGTCAAGAGATGAAGTGAACCGTGCCAAAGACTGTAGCTAACTTAATTACCTCTGCAAATGATAACTCAGGGAAATTCTTGAGTTGTTCCAAAAATGCAGTTTTCTAGAATTCTGAAAATAGCTGAAACTGTGCAATTAAACGTGACTTTTCAGATGAGCAGTCACAGTCTGACAGGAGAGAGTTACTGTACCAGTAGCCCATGTTTAATGGAAGTAGCTGGAAGAGAGGAATGGTACAGAGTGGAGAGCTAATGTAAGCACCAAGCAGCAATAAAAACATATGTTCAGAAGTACACCCAGTTACAGGTACTGCAGAGGATGGGTGGATGGATAGTATTGCAAAGACACTGAAAAGCGAGTGCAGCAAAAGGACTAGATAAACCAGGTAACAAAGGAGACTGGTAGTGACCTCACTTCCATCAAAGAGGGAGAAGGGCATGGAAGGATTTGAAAGTCATAGTAGAAGCAATAAAGTCTTATAACTGTGTATAAACAGAGTCAGAAAGGACTTAAACATTTTGGGACAACTTTTGGTATTAAAGATAGAGCTTATAGTCTCAAAAGCAGTACAAACGTAGAAAGGAAGTGGTTGGATGTTCAAATGAGAGAACCATGCCATAACGCAGGAAATAACTGGTGCTACCAAAGCAGCGCTCACTATTTTGAAAAACTTGCCTGGTTTTGCTTCAGGACAGACACTTGTTTCTGGAGACAGATATTTTCCTCTTCAAGCTCGGTGTAGTCTTGCAGCAAACGGGCCTCTCTGAATTTATATTCCTTAATATCATCTCGCAGACGGGCCCTTTGGTTTTCTACATTCTGACTGACCTGGGAAAAGAAACAAATTCAAAATTATGATAATTTGGTCAGCTACAATTAAATTTAAAAATTTTACCTTTGCTGACATGTACTGATCCAGTGGATTCTATTCAAACAGGAAGTCTCCCCCATCCCAAAAAGAAATTACAGAAAACCGAGTCATTTACACAATAATTGGATTTTATACTCTCGCTTCTCTTACAAAATTCTCACCCTTGACTCAAAGAAAGGTTAATGAGCAAGCAGGTAAAGCAGCATTCACACCTATGTTGTCTCTCACTGGCTGTAAGTAACAGGTGCAAGTTTTCCAGATCAGATGTCAGTGCCTGAATCTGTTAATGCTTTTCACAGGAGAAAGACAGATTCAGATGACTCCAGACATTCTTATTTGGACATGTATTCGATACTGATTTTCAAACAGACCTTTTCTTTATGCCAAGTGCAATAACTTGGAAATACGTCCTAACGAATCCTTTTGGAGAGATACTGAGTTAAAGCTCAAATGAAATCCAAGATCCCAGTTAGAAAGAAATACCACCTGTGGTTGACTTATAAAAAGTTCCTTCCCCTCAGTCCCAAGACTTATGCAAGACCTTAAAGACTTAACAACAACAACAACCACCATTATTGTTTTGGGATAGACAAGCAGTACAAATCAATATATTAGAGTAGCATCATCTTGAGATTCTTCCTGAATATCCAAATAATAAATTGAGCTAGCACATATCCAGCTCTGTGAACGGCTCATTGTGCTGCATTTTTTCAACCACTGTTTTCCATCAAGCCACATCTTCAAGTCCTTCATTAAAACAACATGAAAAATATGTTCTAAACATCAGCAGAAATATCTGCAGAGATAGGCAAATAGACAATACATTGCCTATGAAAAGTGTTCAGATATTGTAGTAGTTGTACCTGTGAAGTGACAGAATGTTTTTCCAAACAGTTCTAAATCGGCTCAAAACAAATGCGAGCTCATGAAAGAGGCTGCCCATCAATTCAGCCAGTTAGGTTATGGTATCTTCTTTCTGTTTTCCTCTACCCAGCAGCCTAGCCAAGAAAGCTTCATCCTCTAACATACACATTCAGATTCCCTTAGTGTTCCCTACTTCTGATTAGAAACAAGAATGTCAGCAATGAACAAGGTCTCAGTTCTCTCGTGAACATGCAGCAGGAACACACAGCAGTCACATTCCCTACAGGAATCTGAGAGAGAAGGAAATGTTTGCAGCAGAAGCAAATGTCAAGACTTGAATCTGGCACGTTCTGGACACAAATGCAGAATCACCTGCAATTGCTAAGACCAATAAATTTAAATGATAGCTCCCTCACGTCAGGTAGAGATTAGACTATATAAACTTGTCTGCTTATTTTTAGCAATGAAGTACTTCCCAGCACGCTGAGAAGCTAAAATAAACATGAATTGCTGAAGCCAGACACTACAATACAACAATGCAAATGAAAAGTTGCTACATCCCACATGCCATGCCTAAGCAAGTGTTGGCTCTATCTTTGCACAAACCCACAGCCAGGAGGAAAGGTGCACTGCAAGTAGCTGAAGGCTACAGCCTGGCATGGATTCACATCTTAACAACTTCTCTTTAACAACTGCAATGAAGACCTCTTGCCTTTGGCAGAAAGAGCTTCCAGTCAGATAATCCAAACTGTTTAACAGTTAGGATTGCAAAAGGCTCTTGCATCAAACTGAGTTTCATACAAATTTGGAGATCTTATCTGCAATTTTCTCCATTCTCAACTAAGTGAAATGCAATGAAAGACCTCCCAGAAAGCTACTGGAGAGCTCCTCTCCCCACCATTCAGGCTTTGTTCCTTTTCTTCCCTGGATGATCTAATCTTTGCAGAGGTCAATGCCTGGAAAAAAAAATCACTGGAGACAGTCTTTTTTTGGAGAAAGAATGGTTTCTGTCCAATCCTGCTCACTTAATTCCGAGCAACAGTAAGAACTTATTATTTAATGTGAAAGTATTGTTGTGCTATGTCTAGCACAAGAAAAATCATTCTATTTCAATGCATACAGGAAGGCCGGCTTTAAAAATAGCTCCCTTGTTTCCTGACCAGGGAAGGAAGATAGAGCTTAGATTTATTGGCTGTGTAGCAAGCTGTACATTCAGTTTGCTCTTAGCATTTTCTTATCAAATAAATGTGCAGGCTTGCAAGCTGCAAGGTTAAAGTGGGTGCCAAGCTAGCTCATATGACTGGCCAAATGGAAAGATTTTTTTCTGCAGGGAAGTAAAGCATCCTTCCTTGATCAGATTTTTCTACTCCCCATAATGGAAGTGGCATTCATGTATTTGCAGACAGACACATATACATTGCACATGTTCTCACAGGTGGCGTTTTACAGTTCCTCAAGTGCACAGAAAAGTCAGCTGACCTACAAATGAGTTCGTACCTTTCTGTGACTCCTGTTGCTTCACTGGCTTAGTGGCTTCCTTCCTCCTCTGCCCTGAGCAACCCCTGAGCACAGAGAAGGAGCAGCTGGAACACAAGGGCATGCCCGGCTAGACTGTCAGCTATATGAAAAGTCACACCTCCACCCTAAGCAGATCATACAATGCTTATAAAATACCATTATCACTGTGTGGAGAATTGATGGCCCTAAAATCCCATTGAGTGTTCATCTACCTGACAAACCCCTCAACTTCTGAACCTAAAGAATATTCCTGCTATGCAGAAGCCTCTCATCCATCCTGCCCAGGAAAAAGACTGATCTGACAGTGATTTCACTTTGCCTGACCTAAAGGCCATAGACCACTCTGCTCCTGCTGCTAGAGAGCGTGTCTTTAGCGTTTTCATCCTCTCAGCTTTGCCTCAAGGAGTTCTGCAAAGGGGCCCCTTCGAGCAGCACCTGTGCTACACAGAGCAGGGACTTCCTCAGGACCAGTTTGAATCCTCCATGCCTGCACATCAAAACCACCACTGTCCTCCATCACTGCCAAAATCCTGCTCCTTAGCACCCACTTTTCTAGTACACCACAGCATACAAAGCTGCATGTAATCTGATTCTGAGAACTAAATTAACTGAGGAGAAAAATGTCAGGTAGTTGATTCCCTTTGTTCTGTGCACTGCACAGCCTGATGGGAGTTCAGCCTCCAGGTCACCGGCCAAAGCTAATCTTGCAAGCGAAGCTGTGTGTCATTAGCGTGGTTTTTGTTACCTTGAACTCCACCAGCTCATGAGGTCATGGGGTCAGTTTGAGTCTACCGTAGTAAACATGCTCACAGCTAATTTTACATGTAGTAAGAGTCAAAACTTAGTTTGCCCAAATTTATTACTAATTTTATGGTTATATTTAATGCTTCATGCAATAAATATTTTTAGATATAATCATTCCCTCTTGTGTCCTTCACGGGAAGGATGCACAAAAAAGGACACAGACTCTTTGGAAGAAATAGAGCGCAGTTGGAAAAATTGGCAACTTCTATGTATTCTGTTTCTGTGGGGAGAAGAAAATCATGGAATCATTTAGGTTGGAAAATACCCTTAAGATCGTCAAGTCCAACTGTTAACCTAACACTGCCAAGCCCATCAAAATAATCAATAAAACATCATCTTTTAGACATCTTACTAAATATCAGCCTGAAAAATCAGGAAGACTAATCCTCAGACACATACGTAACTCAGAGCTTTCTTCAGCACTTTGCTGAAGGACACACTTCTGCCAATATTTTTCTGAACACTGCCTTCACACTCACAGCTGTCACTCCAAACGTGCCAACCTCAAAGCTACAGCATCTACCCCCAGGTACATCTAATGAAAGTAAGAACTCAAAATATGGACAATAAAGCTTTTCTGTGTGCAAAAAAGGAAATTTCCAGTCAATCATTAGACATTAACAGAACTACCAACTTGAACGACCTAGGCTACAAACCCCAGCCGTTGCATGTTGTGTGTGACATTCACAGCTGCATCTCCTTTGGCCACCTGAGGACTGGGGTCCTGTGGTAAGGTATCACATAACTGTGTAATTAAAGGCTGGAATATAAAATACTCCTAGAATAGAGCCAAATTAAGATTGCATAAGAAACCAAAAATAATCTTCCCCTAGTTCTCAAGTTACAGTCTTTTAAATAGATTTTTTTTTTTTTTTGGTAGTATTGATGTAAAACAAAACACTAACATTCGGCAGGGAAAAAAGCTCTATTCTATCCAACTGTACACTATATACTATATAGTGTATATATATATATATACTATATGTATACCAAAAGATCATAAGATCACCTGTGTGACAAGGCTGTGTGTAGTCCCTGGCAACAGGTAATTGCTTTGGGGGTGGAGAGGCAGACCAGCAGCCACACGTGGCTGGCAGCACACATCCTGACAACTCCCTTCTCTCTCATCTTCCTCAGAAGCGGGAGCTACACAAGTTTCTCCTTCTTAAAATTTTGCCCACTCTGTTCTTACAGTGTAAGAACTATAAAATAGGATAAAACCATGTATTTATCTATGTAAAGGAGAAATGCCATCGTGGCCTTTCTCATTCACAGAAGAAACTGCTTCAGTCACACTTGCACCTATGGTAGCATGTGTGCACACGTACTGGTGCAGAATAAGATACTCCCATGTACGAGGGAAGATGTATAAATAAAACACCTGAGGTTGCCCGAGCCATGGTACCTACAAGCTGGGAAAAGCAGTTTTATTTCCCATACAACCTTTGCATAAAATTCACGCCATATCACAATACACACACATAACCCACACAGTGAATACCAGAAAACGAGAACAAGTCTGGCGGAGACCGACAGTCAGGCACAGCCATACCTACAGCTGTTTTCTATACATATAAAAACATATCACAACTACCCCCCCAAACTTGTGTGTATGACATTTGTTCAGTATTCAACTGTTCTCACTGACATGCGACAGTCACTGAGTTACTCAAGTGTCACTGTCATAGCTTTCATGCTTTGATTCAGTTTATGAGAGAGACACCCCTCTCCAGCCCTACACAACAGAAATGGACCATCCTCTGGACAGAAT